GTTCAGTGTCATCCCCCTGCACAAAGAAGGAATGGATGGAGTAAGTGATGTACTGGCTAAAGTCAGGAGGTGTCGTGGGGTCAGGCCGCGGGGTTCCTCCTATCCCCTTGGGCATGCTGTTGAACCTTATTGACTCTCTCATTTGCCTTTCTTGAAAGTGGTTCAATACTAGTGCCGCTTTGCACGGTTGTGAGATTTAAACAGGTGTGACCTTAGCTGGAAAGAGCCCTGCACTGACCTGGATGTGTTTGCTCCCTTTGACCTGCTATATCAGAGCATCATATGTCCTAGGCTACCTAAGGGATTGCTTCCATTCTCATCGCTCCATGTGGTCAAAGTCGAAAGTAATGATGCAAGTTTATTTATTGGCTTAAATTTTTTTTCTAAGTTTGAATAAACGAGGGAGATTTTTTAAATGTTTTCACAAACTTTAATATTTTTTTAATTGAAAATAAATGCTTTTCACACACATTATTCTGATCATGGTTTCCTTCCTCCAACTCTTCCCAGATCCTCCCCACATATTCTTTTTTTCTCATTTTCATAGCTGCGTCCTCACACCTAGCTGACCAGGCAACAATGGTATTCACGTGGCAACTCTCAGCTACTGCTGGCCAAGTGTTTGTCAGGACTAAATGGCCGAATTCTCAGATTGCTTTATTCAGTTCACTAGACCACTATTGACTGAGTCTAATAGAAAGGAGAGGTAGCAGGAAAAGTAACATACCAGCTATAAAGCACAGGGGTTGCACAGCTCTATTCTCAGGGGAGAGAGAGACAGCATGTCAGGGGATGAACCTGGGGTGTGTGAGTATTCGGACCTCAGCCTCCTTACGGCTTGTTTTGCCCCATACTCACACAGAGGGCCTGTTACTCCAGCATGCTGAGCTTGGAAACCACACTCGGAACCTGGAACCCTCCAGAAATAAGGCACCGGAATCTTTGCAAACTCAACTGATCAGATGATGGCCTCCTGGGTTTGTTAACGCTGCAAGCCAAGAGCAGAGGACTCAGCTCAAGTGGTAGTTGTTGGTGAAAACTAAGCACGAAAGAACAGACCATAGGCCTTAATCCCACGAGGATGGGATTTCGGTCCTCTTTTGAAGAAGGTCTGGTTGTGTATTACCTATTACTCAGGTGAGGCAAAATTCCAGATCAAACTATTTACCAAGAAAAAGAGAGGTTCGTAGCTCATTGATGTTGGAAGTCTGGTGAGATTCCTAGGCAATCTCATGGATGCCCATGTTAGGAATACAGACATAAGGGACAGAAAGCCAGAAAGAGTCTGGATTCCACAATATCTGAGGCCCTGCCTCCAGTGACCCATGCAGGTCCCTCTCCATCCCACCTCTTAAAGGGTCCACAGCACCTCCACACCTCAAACCTAGGAGCAACTCCCAACATACGAACCTTTTGGGAGAACACATTTAAACCATACTCAAACCACACCAGGCACTTTTCACGTTACCTATTTCCTCCTAAGTTATATTTTCTTCAATGTTGTATTAAACAACGCATTGTACTAAAAAATACAAAACTTAACAGCAAGTAGCCACTCCCAGCTATGCCAGGATTATACATACTTCTAAGGCTCAAGAGAGACTCAAACACCAATCTGAGCACAGGGGAAGGCTAGTTCAAGCACCCTCTCCACCATTGCTGAGTCTTAGCTGGGGACAATCTTTGAGTTCCTGGGGATTTCCCTAGCTGCAGATTTCTCCCCATCCCCTTAGTGGTACACTCTGTCAAGACATCTCTTTCATTGCTCTCCCTCCCCCATGTTCCCACCTCCCATTCCCTCCAGTCCCCTCTCCTCTATTCCCCCTCCCAGTTTATGGGGATGGGGGAGGTAGGGGGAACAGGAGAAGAGGAGGGAGGGAGAACAGGGGTTGGTATTTAAAAGGAAAGAAAAAAAATTTTTAAATATAATTATTTAAAAACAGACTGAAAGCAGCAGGTTTAATTACTGATTTTATCTTTTAAATGGAAACTGGTGGCGCCTGGGGTCCTGCAGTGTTAAGTCCTGCATCTGTTCCTCATTCATCAAACGTTTATTGACACCTTCTTATGCTTAGACGGGAATCTAAATTCATCTCAGCAGCTGCACTCCTGGAACGGTGATGGTATAACTCTGAGACTTGGGGGCCGAGGAGGAAAAGGTAGATGCAAATTTCAGAATCAAAACACCGTGGAATATTATTCCATAGTCTCTGTAGTCAGGTTTCGTGGTTGTTTTTTGAATTCTAAAACCTAAATATGAGAGGGGATAATCTGGGGAGAAAAAGGGCATGGAGACAGGAAAGAATATGCTAAGAACACAGTATCATGCCATGGATGCATAAAAAGTGCCAACAAGGAGCCTGCTGCTTTGTATGACAACTTGTGCTAGTCAGTTTTTATCGTGAATTTGACACAACCTAGAATCACCTGGGGAGGGGGGACCCCAAATGAAGAATGCCTTGATCAGACTGGCCTATGGCCATGTCTGAAAGGAATTGTCTTGATTGATGACTGATGTGGGTACCCACTATGAGTACTAGACAGTGGGGCATGGGTAGTATAAATAATGGTAGCATTCTCACCTGCCTAAGCAGAGGGGCCTGGCTGGCGTAAGAAACTAACAGAGTGACTCAGAGAACAATCCAGCAAGCAGCTGTAGTGATTTGAAAGAAAATGGCCCCATAGGCTCGTACTTGAATGTTTGGTCCCCAGTTGGTAGAACTGGTTTGAATCAGATGTAAGCTCTCAGCTGCAGCTCCAGCACCATGCCTGCCTGCTGCCATGCTCCCCACCGTGATGACAATGGACTAAACCTCTGAAACTGTAAGCCCCGGTTAAATGCTTCCTTATGTAAGTTGCCTTGGTCATGGTGTCTCTTCACAACAATAGATGTTATTAAAACAGCAGCCCTCATCCATGGTTTCTGTTTCTGTTCTTGCCCTGACTTCCTCAGTGAGGGACTGTGACATGATTGTAAGCCCAATAAACCCTTTCCTCTCCAGGTCGCTTTTGATCAGGGTGTTTTAACACAGCAACAGAAAAGAAACCTAGATGCAGAAATTTAACCTTTTAAAAGCTGAAAAGCCCACATTCCTCCCCACCTTATTGTAACAGAAATGAGTTCTCCACCGCTGCATTTTCAGGACCTCATGTGGATGCTCAGTTGGCAGTGCTAATCAGATCAGCACTCCACAGAGTCTGGTCCATCCCAAGTCTCTTATCTCCACACCTCAGGAAGAGGGTGTGTGGGAGGGATGCTCTGAGTGTGTGTGGCCCTGTGGAGTGAGTGTGTGGCCCTGTGGCTGCTCTGGCTCCCCAGTGCTCCTGAGTGAGATGAAAATGAACCCATGTGAACAGCTCAGGCTGAGTCAGTTCTCGGTAACTTCATCACTTCAGCTAAGAAGATGAAGAGTACAAGCCTTAGTTTGTAAGACACCTGGTCAGCAGTGGCTCTGAGTTTTCTCAAGGGTCCATGGCACTTCCCAAACAGGAATCCTTAAATTCAAGCTTTATTAGGTCTACCATGCTTTAGCTTTAAATTTCATATTTTAAAATCATACTCAATAAAATTTTTTATCTAACACTCTTATTCATGTCTCATATGAAACTCAATCGATGTTCTCAATCCTACTTCCTCTTCCTGGTGTGTGTGTTCTTTGCCAGTCCCTTTCGGCTGGTAGCTGAAGACTACGTGATTAGTTGCAGGCAGTAACATGAAGAAACGGCATGTCTCTCTTCCAGTCCACACTCATTTTTCCCTCCAATGGTGACTTCAGAAGCCATGTTCTGAGCATGGTGGTGGTGGCACTGGTGAAAGATCCGGATGGAGAAGGGACCAGGGACACAAGCCAGGAACAGACTCTTATTAGGTTTGGTCACAAATGGTGGATAATTGGGTGTGGCTTCTCATTACAGGGACATCTCCCTACAATGGGAGTGGGGGGGAGGGGGCACTGTTCTCCTGTTTCTTCTCTTGTGGGTCAAACATATGTTCTACTCACAACAATTTTTGCTTATTGGTTTTGTTTTTGAGATGGGGTCATCTTCTGTAGTCCAGCCTGGCCTGGAATTTCAGCTCTCCTGCCTCAGCCTCGTTATTACACAACACCTGCCCAGTAGTGCTTTACCGTTCGTTACGTTCGTTATTTGTTGGTGGTTTGTTTTCAGTTTTTTCTCTTGAAGTTTCTCACACACTTTGAGATGTCTTTGTCGAAAGTTCACAGGATCAGAATTCCTGGGATTCTGTTTCCTTTGGCCGGAGGGTGGAAAAAACACTTTCTGAAACCATTGTCTCATTTTTATAAATCAACCCATATAACTGACATCCGATTGCTTCAAGGTTTTTCAAATGGCAAATAAAAATCAGATATTTTTTGGGTACAACATGAGGTTTTACTACATGTACACAATATGTAGTTTTCAAGTCAGGGAGCTGGCATGCTCATCATCTCAAACATTTATCAGTCCTTAGTGGTGACAACCTTTAACACACTTTAGATTTTTTGAAATAAAAAAAAAAAGTGGTAAATTGAGTCATGTACATCACTGGGTACATGGTTCTGAGTGTCCTTTCATTTTTAATCTACTCTTAAATCTTTGAGGCCTTTAATATCTATAAAGACTGTTTATACTATTCATCATGAAAAATTTCAGGCATCTCTCTCTCTCACACACATAGTAATAACAATGAAACAAGGTTTAAGTAACTGAAAACTGGGGAGGGACAGCAAAATGGCAAAATGATTAAAGAAGCTTGCCACACAAGCCTGAGGACCTGAGTTCGATCCCACCCACGTAAAGATGAGAGAACCAACTCCACAAAGTTGTCCTCTGACCTCCACATGCACTGTGGCATGTACAACCACACATCTGGATTATGTACACATACAATAAAAAGTTACTATTAAAAACTTCAATAAAACAAAATACTTGTGCATTTGTAGCTAGGATATTCTCCATTTTATTTAATCTTATAAATGGAAAACTTAAAAGGCATTTCATAGCAAGCAAAATAATACTTTATTGACAATTGAGAAGTTACAGTACTTTCAGACATTTTTCAAATTCTTTTACAAAGAAAAATAAATTATAAGAAATGACACAAGTCCAATGAAACTTGACCTTTAATAAAGCTAATAAAATCATTTTTGAAAAACAAAAATCTGTAGCTTGAATTTTCATGTCATGAATATACATTTTCCTATGTGATCATCACTGTGGTCCAATCTGTGGTAAGTAGTTGAACGGATTCAGAGGTGAGTCCCTTTGGGGTAACATGCAAGGATGCACATAAAAAGTAGCCAATTCTAACAGGAAATCTGAACAGTTGGGTGATTTGTCATTTCACTTTTTAGGCAATAAATTCCAGACCTAGCCATATTTCTCTTTATATCCTAACCAGATCCAGAAGTCCTGTGTGATCAAGTAACATGTAGCCATTTAGTGATAGGAAGCATCCTGTTATCCTCAGTAGACAAATTTCCCACTTTCTTAATTAAGGGGAGATAATTGGGCCAAGCTGATCAAATAAACCCATTTCCAATATTTTACAATTGTACACTACTGCTTTATATTTAACCAATTATTTTCTTGCCCAACAGTTAATGTCTGCTGACATAAGCAACTGTATCATCGCCATTGGCTTACTCTGTGTCTTTTCCATCTTGACTGAAGGAAAAGGAGTTGCATACAAGACCTACTGTGTGCTGCCAGTATCTAACACGCTGGCATCTGGGGGACCCATGTGAACCGGGAGGGCTGAGGGCGACTTCCATAGAAAGGGCACCCACATGCACTCACGCTGACGTTTTCTAGGACTACAAATACATCAACGACCAAAGTCTGTAGGAAATCACAAGTGCACTGCCGTAAATGGCTCACAACCACTTCACGCACACCATCTCACGAGACTCAGAACTGGCTTTGGTGAGGGAGAAGAGAGCAGGGCAGCAGTGGGGCATGGCAAACACCGGTGTGTTCTCGTCAAGCAGCACTACCTACCTGAAAACTTCTAGCTCCCTCTTCTTAACGTGAAGAAACTGGGCCATGCGGGAACAGTGTTTCCACAAGAGGACTCAGCCGCCGATGAATACTCTTTGGAGTGTCAGGGAACAGAGACAAATGGCACATGGCTCAGTCTAGCCCATGGGAGGTGAACAGTGGCTTTCCCCTCACCTCTCCACGGCAGAAATGGCACCCACACAGCCAGCTTTCAGGGGAAGTTCCCACTGTGCTGAGAAGTAAACTGCGGGGGTCATTTCAGCCACCATGTGATGGATCAAGAGAGCAAACATGAATTCAACATGTGTGGCCGCTTCTCCTTTCTCCAGGTCCCCAGACAAAGGGAACAGCTGCTAAAATCAAAATATCGTCTCCAAAAATCTTTAGAAAATGTAATTCTGTAAAACTAACTACTATAAAAAAATGATCAAAAGATAAATATATCTTCGGGTGCCCTTAAACAAGAGTGCATGCCTTTTACACTTTGCATCTAAATCGTGTTTCACACCATTTCCTCTCCTCTTAGTCTACGTTCCTTTCTGTCTGGTGACTGCTCCTGTGTTGATCATTTGGGGACTTCCACACGGGATGTTGATTCAGCACTCTTACTGTGTGGGAAATCCTGGCTGATGAGATGTTCACAGTGTTTGTGCAGAACTTAAAAAGTACTGCAGTGACCCAGTATTTAAAAACCCACTGCACTTGGTGAACTCCACAAGTAACAGGCGAAGATACAAAAATACAATTGAGCATGCAGAATAGAACATAACAATGAAGACAGCTAGCATGAGCCTCACATGTAGCTCCTAGTCAGTGAGTTTTGACTCGCTGTATGCCACTGCACATTTTTAAAGATCGACTTCTCAGTCACATTCCTATGAAATTCCTCTCCTCACAACCTTGTCCACTTTCTCTGCACAAGACTAAAGACTTGAAGTAACAACTTAACATTAAATGTCATAAACAATCATTAGAAATATCTAACACAAATGTTTTTAAAATTTTGGTTCTTATGAATTCATACCAAAATAAAGCTTCTGAAATATTTATAGGCTCACATGAAGACAAAGTAATGACATAAGCAAATAAGTTAACATTTACATAGAAAAATAGAGAATTGCACAGATGGCTTGGTGATATCTTACAGACCGGCACACTGGAGAGCCACGGGTTGAGAAGTCAGGAGATGACCTGGCACACATTCCTTTAAACCCCGTAATTCTCATCTTCATCATCAAATGAGCTTGTTTGCCTAGCTAGTGTGTTTGGAGACGGAACAAAGGACGCACTTCTCAGGATGATGCCTGAAGTGTCTCAGTATTTACCAGGCAGTTTTTGATTGTTTCAAATTTTCCTAAGCATGCATTTTAGCATTCCTTTACTATTGCAGTAAGAATGCGATGAGGCTAGGAAGATGCAAAATTATATTTTGTCATCTATCTCTGATGTCTGAAGGCCCAGGAGGCAAGTGACCAGAATACTCGCAGTTAGCCATCCGTCCCCTGCTATTTAAGGTGACCCTACCTCCTGTGACCAGCACACCCCACAGCTAGCCAGTCCCCTGCTGTTTAAGGTGACCCTACCTCCTGTGACCAGCACACCCCACAGCTAGCCAGTCCCCTGCTGTTTAAGGAAACGTTAGCTTCTCTTCCAGTGTGAGGTCTATAAAGCCACCAGGCAGGATTCTTGGATTTTTATGCCACCTATATTCAAAGAGCAGGCACACACTCTCAAAAGATGAAAATATAATTAAACTCTACATTAAAATTAAGCTGGATGTGGCTTTTCATTCTCCTGGACTATAACATGAAAAATAATAATTAAAAAAAAAACTCTGCATGGAGTCAACTATCAGGTTTTCTTGACTCAATAAGTGCTCTTGATGAAGTCACCTGACATTTTGGGACTCAGATACCTACACTGGTAACTGTCCTGTCCAGTTTATGTCTGCTTGACACACTCTAGAGTCATTTTGGAAGTGAGACTCTCAATTGAGAAAATGTCTCTGTAAGACTAACCTGTAGGCAAGTCTGTGGGAGTATTTTCCAGATCGATGATTGATTTGGGACGTTTCAGCCCTTTGTAGGTGGGGCCACCTCTGGGCTGGTGGTCCTGGGTGCTATAATAAAGCAGGCTGAACAAGCCATGAGGAGCAAGCCAGTAAGCAGTGTCCTCCCTGGCCTCTGCATCAGCTCCTGCCCCAGGTTCCTGCCCTGCCTTCCTTTGATGATGGACTGTGATGTGGAACTGTAAACTGAAATAACCTCTTGCTCCGTAAATTGCTTTGGTCATGGTGCTATATCACAGCAATAGGAACCTAAGACAGTAACTAAGGGAGCAGTATTCCAGAAACTTCAATGGCCTTTTCACCTACGATGGAAACAGGAGGTGAGACCCCTGTTCAGTGCTTCCCGGTGACTATGCAGCCCTATGGTCTGTAGAGACTACCTGTGAAGAGACTCTGGCTCTGGAAACTTCCTAATGTTTACATGATGGTCAATGGGAATCGTCTATCCTCCCCAGGGGCTATCAGAAGCATTACCCATGGAATAAAAGTACAATCGATACATTTTCAAACAGGAGGCTTACTTGCTATTGTGGGATGTTCCAGAAAGATTTTCTTAACTATGACCCTATTCAATTTCCACAATGTTGAATTCCTTTATCTTCTCAATAGTGGTAAGAAACATAATTCTTATTCAAAGTGTTTCTTACAGAAACAAAGACTAACAGGGTATGCTTATTGTTTGAGTTTTGATTTTAGTTTTTTCAATTCTCAAAGCTAATTTAAAATTTTTCATTGTCATTAGATAAAAGCAAAAATCTGCCATAGTTTACCACAGCTGCAAAAGATAACCAGTTCACAATCCAATTACAATACTGTGCCAACAAAAACAAGAGTTTGACACTATGTTTAGGTGTATGGCAATACACTGGACTGGTTCTTAATTGCTGTTAGAATTGGGATGATAACAAAAGGCTCACAGATCTTCCACTATTTCAAACCAGGTGCTAAGCATGTAGAGTTCACATTCAGAGCGAGACTCTGTGGGGTACCAGCTACTGTAGTTGGATAAATAATTTCTTCAACAGTGACATACGTGCCCAACAAGAAGCCAACGACTCCAGTGAATGCTATGGAAATGTTTTTCAGGATCATCCATATGTTGTAGTGTTCCTTAGAAAATGTAAGGATTTCCACGATGGGGGGCAGGATCAGGGCCAGCGTACTGCTGCTTACAGCCCCAACAAAGGAGATCACGATGTCTAGGCGAGGAATGAGAACTGCCCCAGCACCTATTAAAAAAAAAAAAAACGGCTTCTGTTGACATGTTTACTACACACATAGGGACTTAACGAAGAGCTTTTTGATACAATGAAAGTAATTAGCAGAAGCCACTGCTAAAAGGGAAAATGTCATAATTTATCCTGAGCTAAGGAGAAGCAAACCAGAAGCAAACACTTTCTAGACTCATACTTATCAGGAAACATTTCTCATGTAAACAACTATTAACTCTGTGCTATGAGATTGGAGCGTCTATTTTAGAGTACTGAGCTCCTCTCCCTGGCACACACAGAAGTCTATGACACACAAAACAGTGTGGTGTGCCAGGAATAAATAGGAGCACAAAGAGCCCAGTTCTTACAGCAGAATTGTGGTCAGCCACTCTTCAGGACAACATACCACAGGGTCATTATCAAGAGAACAAGGCCACAGTCACTGAGCAAGAGGAGCCAATGGAGGATGCGGAAATGAGTGGACAGAGCAGTGCTGTGTGGCATTGCAAGCTTCAATCCCAGAAACTGGGTTTCCAAGTCAGGATGATCATGAGATCGAGGCCAGGCCAGCCTGAGCTACATAGCAAGGCCCTGTCTCAAAAACCCAAGTCTGGCCTGGGGGTATGGTGCATGTCTCGCATGTGTGAGGGTTTGTTTCTAGTACCAAGAATTCAAAAGCTGGATGAGATCTGGATATACGTATAGTCACAAATTATCCCCCTAAGACACTGTCTTTGAAGTGGAGAAACAAAGAGGCCACTTTAAGCAAGTGAGCAAAGCTGTGTTCGGCTGTGGTACACTGAGCAGTGCCCATAGTGTCCCAATACGGTACGCAGTGGCCAGCTCCTCCTGTGGAATTCTTGCTAATGGCTTAAGGCTAAATCAGGAGTGGTGGTGCAAAAGAATTTGGGAATCTGAGGCAGGAGGACAATGAGTTTGAAGCTGCCCTGATCTCCACATATACAAACATAGCCCCATTTCTAAAAAAAATAAATAAATAACTGTTTGCAAAATACATGATTTAAGCAGGTCTCACATTAACACATGCACATGCAGTCAGCTATTACGATAGACATGTACTGATACTTACAAGTGATACTAACCAAGAAGGACCGTATCCCAAATTCACAGATGCGCTTCCATTTGGCATGAAGTCTGGCAGTGACTCCAGGGATAATGATCTCTGCTGGAACATAGAACTGAATTGAATAGGTCACGAAAATGCCAAAGGAATACAGAATTTTCACTGACTGATACAACCTGTTGGAAAAAAGAAATTCAACATTTAGTTTTTCTTAATGTGAGTTTGACTTTCCTCTTTTTTAATCCTTAGAAGGTAAACAAGAAATAAAGAACATAAGGCAGTTTAGAAACGTCCTAATCAAAGGTGAAAAAGCCAACCAAACCAGACGTGGCGGTGTACAGCTATAAGGCCAACACTCAGGATGCCAACGCAGGGGGAACCGCTGTGAGTTCCACATCAGTCTGGCCTGCATCTGTACTCATTTCCAGACTAGACCAGTGGCTACAGACTAAGAACCCTGTCTCAAGGAAGAAAGCAAAATACACACACACATATAATTATATTTAAAAAAAAAAACCCAAAAAACTAACCTCCTCTGACCACATTTCTAGTCCTCAATAGACAACTCGCTCTGATGAGGCTGTGAGGCTGAGCGCAGACTTGGGGACACTGTGCTAGAAGACGGAGTTTAGGCCAAGCTGGTGCTCCCTGCCTATCCTCAGCCCCACAAAGAGATTTCCGAAGCTTTTCAGAGCAGTATTTTTTTTCAACTTTCTTTTAAAAATTTGAATATATTTCTTTGAAATATTGAGCCACAGCGCCAGTGATCTCCATGTAGAAGAAAAATGTCATATTAGACTCTCAATGTGAGCCCCCCTTGCTGTACATTTTTGTGAGGCAAAGGGCACAAGGAGGGCATCTGAATCCTTTCCCCAGCTGAGTTTCCATGCGGCACCTGCTGCCTGTGTTAAGATCAAAGCAGCAAGAGGAGAGCTGTGCTGCTGCTGCTTGGTTTGTGATGCAAACTTGTCCCTTGGAGGTCAGGGCTTCCAGTGCACATCAGTGCTCCACTCCTAGACATCTTCAGAATTCTCTAATTACTCATGCTATGTGATACACGGAGAGTCCCACATACTAACAGGGTCCAGTGTAGTCTGACAGGGCGAGACAGTGCAGAGGGTCCTCCATCTTGTATTGTTGCAAAGGCCATTTCAGGTTTAACCAGAATTTGATCTCCTTGACGGAGAATCCCAGGGAAAATTACCAATTCTATTCTAGGAATCAAGTCACGATGCCCCAGCTACCTCATTTCGGCCTCTGTTAAACTGCCTGTTTATACAAACCTCCCCTCCAGCTGACTGCTTAACTTAGCTCCTGTTGAACTGCTCGCTTATGTAAAATCTCCCCCTGCAGCTGCCCAGTGAGATACAGAAGGTTTTGTTTGCCTTTAAAAACCCCTTGCTCAGGGCTACAACTGGGTCCCAAATATCTGAGTGTAGTTCCAGCCAGCTACAATAAAGACTTTCAATTGGCTAGACTGTGTCTAGGTGGTCATCTCTGGAGGACTCACTATAAACAGTAGTATGTCAACTCAATATAAAATGTGTGATAGTCTTTAGATTACTACCTTGGTGATGGCCCCCTGCCAAAACTCACATGCACTTCATCTTCTCCTTTTTTAATTAATTAATTTAGTGCTTTATGTGTTTCGCCTACACGTATCTCTATGTTCCATATGAGTGTCCAGTGCCTCTAGAGAACAGAAGGGGGCACCAGATCCCCTGGCGCTACAATTACAACTGGCTGTGAGCCATCACATGGGCCTTGGGAACTGAACCAAGTGCTCTGAAAGGCTGAGCCAATTCTCCAGCCCTTCAGCATGCATGTCTCAGTCAATACCTCAGCAAATCCCTGTCTAGAGAAAGTGACATTTTTGGTGAGGTGTAGAGAATGTGTGGACTCACAAGAGTCAGATGAACAATAAACCTACTCCTCTGGGCTATGGATGATAAAAATAGTACACTGTATTTCAGTACTTTAACATTCTGATTTTTTAAAATATTTTTTTATATTTAAAATAATCAAAAGAAATATCCACAAGAAACAAACTAGAAAGGCGGCTGTGGCTGGGGGGAGCTACGACTCTGGGGCAGTGCTGAGGTAGACTGCTTTAGGTTGGGGCAGTGACCAACTCCTGTGTCCATTCGCCTGTGGAAATGCCAGGGTCCACAGCCTCTGTGTATCTCCTTGGAACAAATCCTATTATCCTAAAAGGATAGACAGGACTACTTTCGGCAAAGCCATTAATTAGGGCTTAAGCTTATTTCTGACATCCTAAGACCAACAGCCCTGAGAAGCATACGCACTCTGTGGTCTGTGACCAAGCAAGGATTCAGTAGGCTTTGGCCGCAGTGCACACACACATCTTAGGAGCAAATACAAGAAGCAATTGGGGCCGAGGAAGAGTAGAATTGAAAATACGGCAAACACCACAATTAGGAACAAGGAAAGTCCTTAGGGCTGAAAATAATAAATCTTAATTTAGAAACTACCCAAGGACATACTTAGCTAGGGCCTTAAAATTTAACTGTAATGGTTGTGGCTGAAAATATGCAAAATTACCAAATGACTATTTTTTTCGCATGTTCTGATAAGCAGCTGTAGAGAATTAAGCAAACATTCTTATTAGTTCAAAATTCAATTAAAGGAATATTGCTTTTTTTTCTAATTACTGTTATATCTTCAAAGTATGGCCGGTAATATACTTTAAAATGAAAACACTATTTTGCGTATAATTATAATTACATTCCACTGACATAAAGCTGGAGTTCCACAGGCTAACACATGGTTAGTGTTAATACCATCCACACGCAGTACTGTTATCTGGTGTTATATGGAACACTGCTCTGAGTTTTTCCTCACATTACATGCTGGAGAAGTGAGCACTACACAGACTGGTTTTTCAACCCTAGAAGAGGAATATAGAAATGTCAGTGTTCAGGCACACTGTAGAAAAGCCCCATTTATTTCACTTTTACTATTCTGTTTCAAAAGCCCATTTATCTCTATGGTTGGCATGCGTCCTTCAATAACACTTAATACTTTTTCTCAACTTTTCAACCTTTGGTCTCACTTCGGCTTAAGCAGCCACAGAGCTGGACACTCTGCGATGCACACAGGAGACATGAGCAAACACACAATCCCAGGCCTTCTGCACTCTCCCTTTACAGAGCACTAGCCTTTGAGAGGACAGCGCCACCCTGTAGCGCTCAGGGTGTTAACAGTCCAAGGGACTATTAACTCTTAATTCCTTACCAGGTCCACAACGCAGACAGTGAACAGGACAGGCTGCACCCAGCCGCCCTGTGAAGAGGTTCAGCAAACTCTCTCCAAAGGAAACCTCTCTCTACCCTGACTTGCTCGCCTACTTTTCAAGATGTCTACTGTTTTTCAGGATAACTCTTGGAGGCCTTCTTGTAGCTGAAAATTAGATGGCTAAACTATGACTGAACAGTCTTTGAGTCACAAGTCCTAATTTGCTCTGTTCTAACTTGAGAACCATAGCAAGCAGGGGTCAGAGGTGAGCCAGTCCTGTAAGGAATGAAGGGCTACTTCAAGTACAGGTCACACCCTCACACTTGAACTGGCAATATATAGGCATGCCTTCCTAGAGTCCTGCCGCGGTCCTTCTCCATGTCTTAGCTGGGAACAGGGGCCTCTATCTATCTGTCTGCAGGCTTTCTCTTCAGTTCCTTTTCCAGGAAGACTTTCCTTAAATACTTCTGTGAATAAATATTGTTACTGTTTTTTACCCATGTCTCATATTTTAAAAAAAAAATTTTTTTAAAGATCCAACTCTTTTTTTTTTTTTTTTTAGATTTATTTATTTATTTATTGTGTATACAGTGTTCTGTCTGTATGTATCCCTGCAGGCCAGAAGAGGGCACCAGATTTCATTACAGATGGTTGTGAGGCACCATGTGGTTGCTGGGAATCGAACTCAGGACCTCTGGAAGAGCAAGCAGTGCTCTTAATCTCTGAGCCATCTCTCCAGCCCATATTTGAAAATTTAAAAGCCTGTCAAGTGCATCTTTAGTTCTACAAATAATGAAATCATGAAAAATTTTAAATGTTCAAATCATAAATCTAAAAATATATCTTCCCCATCAAATCTTATGAATATAAAACACAGAAACTATGACTGATAAGTCAGCTTTACCTACCACATGTCCTGGGGAAGATTCAGTGTAATGCTGCCTTTGATTTCATCACGGAAGCACATGTAGCCTAGAGTGGCTAGGCTGACGTACAGGACTGTGACAATTGCCATGCCGATGTTCAACGCCTGAGGAAAGCGTTTAGACTCCTTCATCTGGTTTTCCAGTGGAAGCACCTAGGAGGAGAATGTAGCTATTTTTAAAGGAACAGAATACAACAATTTACAATAACCAGGGTAATTAGAAAAGTTGGTCTTCTGCAGTCTCATGTGCAAAATCTTTTCTTTGTTCCACTTGTAAGAGCTATTTTCTTTGTGATATGTGGACATAGCCATGTATGTTTGTGTGTGTGTGGTGTGTGTAGGGGTTGACTTCAGTGTCTGCCTCTACCGTGTTCCACCTCAGTTTTCCCCTCTTGGGTTGGTTGAGAGTGTCTCACTATGTAGCCCTGGCTAGCCTGGATCTATACAGACCAGTCTGTCCTCAAACTCACAGAGCTCTGCCTGCCTCTGCCTCCCACATTCTGGGACTAAAGGCACGCACCACCATACCAAGCTTCCACCTTGCTGTTTGAGACAGGATCTCACTGAACCTGGAACTTCCTGGTTGAGCTAAACTGCCCACCTGTGAGCAATCAGGATCTGCCTGTCTCCATTTCCCAGCACTGGGATTCCATCTGCACCAGCTAATTATGTGGGGGATGGGCTCATCCTTATGCAGAAGCACTGTGCCAAAACACTCAGCCCTGTGCTCTGTAGATTTTTATATTACATTATTCTTTAATTCCTAAAAAGATTTGAAGATCAGCTCTCAGTAGGCAACCTGCTGGTTATTTTTATACACCTTTTCTGGTTAGAATAATTTTAGATTTGTTTTTTAAATGCCAAGGAAAACACAGATGGCTCCCATGTGCCCCCAGAGCAGCTCTCCTGTGATTAACACTTTATATTACCAGTTGTCACAACTGAGACAACAGTGGCCAACCACAAATGACTAAACCCCAAATACCATCTCAATTTCTCTAGCTCTTCCATGAATGGCCTTCCAGGACACCGTACTGCATTTTTCACCTTGCTTCCTCACTCTCCTGTGGTCTGGCTGGCTTCTCGGTCTTTCTTTGCTCGCTGTCCCGACTTGTTGAACCCCTCTGCACAACATCCCTCTGATTTGGGTCCGTCCTAATGCCTTCCTTGTGACTAGACAGGGCTCATGGCTTTTAGAGCCGGACACCACACCGTGAAGTGTTCTTTCACGTTTCCATCATGACTGGTGTACTTTTGTCTAGTCCCACCCACCTCATCATACTCTGGGTCTCTAGCTCCACCCACTCTCCCAGAACTAAGTGAGAGTTATCTCTACCCACTGGGGGAGGAGGTACAACTAGGGATCCTGCCTGTAGTCATTAGTCCAATCGCTTACTCGCTGTGGACTTCTGCCATCTGTTATGCACAGAGTTACAACCCAACATTCTGTCACTGTGATACGACCAGGCATGTGTGCATCCCTGGTGGTGCTCATCCCTGGTGGTGCTCACCGCCTCACTGTCCATCCTCTGAGCACGTCCTTCCTCTCTGGCCTATAGAGAGCCCCCACACTCATGTTGGATTCCATGGTTTCAGTCTTCATCAGACATTTGTGGTTCTTGTCTTGGAGCATGGCATTTAGAATTCGGATCTCCAGGGTGTGTGCTATGTGAGGAGTGTTGCTTCTGAAGCCCTCAGGACACAGAGCAAGTTAAAGCTCACATGCATAGGAACACACATGTAGACATCTGTAACTGCTCTAGAGTGTGTGTGGAGGGGGCAGGAAGGGGACCACAGAACAGGACAGGGATCTTGGGAAGGGATGAGAGGTAGGAATGGAGTGTGTGACAGGAAGGCAGGAGGGACTGTGTGGCACAAGGAAGAGACCAGCCAAAAGAAGAGAAGGACAGTATATGATATGTGTGTACAGAAATGTCATAGGACACTTTGTGTCCTAACAAAGCAAATATTAAAAATGAAAATAAAAAAGGGAAGAGAAAGTGGGGTGGTGAGGCTGGTTTTGAATGAGCAACTGTATGTTGGACTTTTGTCAGAGAATCAACACTTTACTAAATATCCAATGATTAAGATCCTAAACTAATGAAAGACAGACATTAAAAGCTGCATCCATGCCGGGCAGTGGTGGCGCACGCCTTTAATCCCAGCACTCGGGAGGCAGAGCCAGGCGGATCTCTGTGAGTTCGAGGCCAGCCTGG